GCTAGACTGATATAATTAATGCAGAGCAATTTATGTGTGTGTACAAGCCCTAAAGTGTTTCCAAACCAGCCCCATAAGCATCAGATGGGTCAAGACCCACCCGCAGCTCCCCAGCCCATCCCAGTTTCCCTGTCGAGTCGTGGGGTTTGCTGGCCATTGGTTTTCCCTGATGGTTTCCCATCCAGATGCTGACCCATAGCAGGTGGGGACAGGGCTGTGTTTGCAAGCAATGTTCACGGACACCTGCCTTGTGACCGTGAAAACTCACACTCGCTTGCTTTTCCTCTGACACATTTCTCAGCAGATCCAGGGTTTAAAAATAGGAAGTTTACTTGAAGCGTCACTAGAAGTCTCAGTGCAGGTTGCATTAAAATGGAAGCTGTAGTACCTGTAAACACACAAAATACTTCTAATTTCCCGGAAAAACCTTTTCATCCTTCACAGCCTGGCTGCAGCAGAACTATGGTCTGAGCCAGGTCGCCCATAAACCGCAGGTCCGGTGCTCCAGCGCTGCCTGCACACATCCCACCGCCCAGCTGGGTCACAGGATCACTGCGTCTGTATTCGCAGAGGCAGATGAAAGGCATGAGATGACCCTAGTTGCCAACAATTCACCCTCTGACAAATGATATCTCCACACCCCCCACTTGCTCCAAGTGCTAAAAGTCCCAAACCGGGTCCCCCCCCTTCTGAAGCTATAGCTGGAAACCAGCGCAGCTACTGAAACACCCCGTGATGCTGTATCCTCTCTGCTTTCTGATTTCCAAGCCACAATTTTAAACTTATTTTGCTCAAAGAATAAACAGCAGAGAGGTGTTTTAAAAAAAAAGAAAGTGGAGCCTGTTATCTGCTCCTTTGGCTTCGGGATTTTGGAGAAAAAGCCCCCATAGCCAAAGGCACGGCGTAGCTGCAGCAGAGCATCCCGCCTGGCCAGCTCCTCCGCTCTGCTGGACTTGCCCATCTTTTTATTCCTTTTATAAAGACACTCGAGGTTTGGGAATTCCTTGATGAGCAATTTGTAGGGTTGGAACCCATGGCTGAGGTTGGGGAAGGACCTTTTTTTGGGCAAACCTGTGCCCTGTTCCTGCCCAGCAAACCCCGCACCTCCCGTGCAGAGCCCCTGGACCCTGAGATGTGCAGGATTTGCTGGAGTCTGCAATGAGCAACTCCCTCACTGCCCTGTGGGTGGGGGAATCCACCCAAATATGTCATGCTCTCACCGCCAGCCCAACCCAGCGAAGCAACTGGTGTTTCTGCCGGTCCCAGATAAAAGGGAGGTCACTGTCCCCCCGCCTTGCCCGCTGCTGGCACCCCCGGCGCTGGCACAGCCCCACCAGCCCTCGGAAATTTCTCTGAAGTGCGGGGAAAAGACAGTCATGACTCAGAAATATCCACGGGAAGATTTGCTTTGGTTTTATTACCGAAGGATGGAGCAAAAATAAGAGCGAAGGCGCTGCTCTGGCAGAACTGATTGCTGCAGAAAAGGCGGGGGGGGATGCAGCCCCCTCCCAGGCTGGCACCCTGGCAGGCAGGTGGCACACGGCGTATCGCGGCCGGATGAAATAGGGAGGCAGTTCTCGGATGAAATAGGGAGGCAGTTCTCGGGGATGCACCTGCCTGACTTTTTCATCGGCTTGGCAAGACGAGGCGTCAGATGTGGGAGCTACGTGCGAGGCGAGAGCGGGGTGGGGTGGCATGACGCCCACCCCCAGCACCAACGCTCGCTTTGGTGATGGGAAACCGGTGTCCTGGCAGCGAGGATACACGGAAAAGGTCGTTTCTATTGTGGTGGCTGGTGCTATTGCAAAAGATGGTGAGCTCCTGGCTCCTCCCTGCGGGGTGGGATACAGGTGAGATGACCTCCCCATGGGGGGAGAGGAGAGAGACTAAAAGGTTGGAGAATAAGCCAAGCATTAAAATTGCAGGCAAGCCCAGACTGGTTTCCTTGAGGGATACTGGAGACGCTGCTGCTTGACTGAGCGCAGATGCTCCCAGAGCTGATCTCCTGATACCAACAAGATCTTTCAATATTTCCTTTTGCTTCTGCAGTGGAAAGAAAATATCTGTCTTCTGAAATATTTATCTCATCCTTTTCTTGCAGTAGGGAACAAAAGGAGTGTGAAATGGACCTGTAACCTGAGGGATCACCTGGCACCTCGGGTAACTTTGAGCATGGGGAGGTGCCAAATCACATTGACATCTCTGAGCTCAGGCTCTAAAGGATCAGACACCAATTGTCACAGACAGGCAAGGGACACTCACTGGGAGAGGTGACAGGCACCTCGTGTGACCTCCAGCATAACATAAATACTGAGCTCTCCTGGGAAGAACTCAGCCCGAGTTTTTGAACATCAGGATGGAAATATTGAGAGAATGAGATGTACCCTGCATCCCTTGGAGGGGGAGAACAAGCGCTCGGTGCCACCGTGCCTTTCCCAGCTTGAATGGGCAGGGACAGCCAGGAAGCTACTGGTCCCAGCCCAGGATCAGTTCAGGATTTAGCCATGTCCTTACCCTGGGGACTTCGCCCTGCCTGAGGGACAAGGCAGGAAGAGCCAGAGCTCCCTGAGACAGGAGCTGGCAGTCCCAGAGCCCCCTCCTTTCAGCAAACCCTTCTGCTGCCCTCCTCCGACCTTTTCCTGCTTTGCTCAGCTCCGTGTTCCAGTCTCCCAGGAAAGCTCGGCATAATGCAATCTCCCGATTCCTCCAGCTGTTCCCCCATTACCCACCCACCACGGCTGCTGCTGTGTTCCCACCTGCCGCTGAGAACGCGGAGTGCGCTTAGTGGATTACGGCTGGATCAACAGTAAAACTCGGCATATGCCAACACTCCAGCCCCCCCGTGCCCACCGTGCCCCTGCTCCGCTGAGGGACCGAGGTCTGCTGGGCACATCTTCCAGCACCTGGATGCAGCTCAGGCTGGATGGAGAGCACGGTGGCATGGAGGGGATGGGGAAGGGCATCGATGAGGATCGATGGAGCGAACCCCGGAGCTGCTGCTGTGCATTGACTTGTGCTCACGGATCTGTTCAGGGGTCCCTGGTGGAGCTGGCTGGAGGCTCTGGAGCGGGACTCTGCTGAGTCCTGGATGGTTTGAGACAGGAGAGAGGACAGGGCTCTCGAGATCAGGCTGTTAGGGACGTGTGACAGCCGGGATGTGTCTCAGATGGGTAGGGATGGGGATGGAGCCAAAGAGGAGGAGAAGCAGCCCCTCACCCTGCATGCTCTCCATGTCCAGGGCTCCTCAACGAGCACATCAACTCCTACGTTTTTGTATCAACAGACACATAATGGATTGATTTCTCTTTCTCTAAAACTCAGTATTCATTCAACAGTTTTGCACACAAATGACGTAGACACAAGAATGTACACAGAAGTATTAAATTATCTTTATTAGAAGCTTCCAGCATATTTTATCTGTTCTCCTCCTCCACAAAATTCCTCCTACTGGATATACAAAACTCCTCTTACCAGATATAGCAATAGTCCATATAGAGCCTGTACATCTCTCTCTCTTTCTTTTTACTGCTACATATCTCACTGTACAATTGCACAGTGTCCTCTCTTATCAGCAACAACACATGGTCTTAAGTACAACCCCACACACATTAAAATTGCATGGCACTCTGCGTTACAAGGAAAGAGCTAAACCTCTTCTCTCTTGTTTCTTAAGACAAACATTGCCACAGACCGTTCCTGTAAAGCTCCTAGGCAGATCCACACAGGTGTCCTGGGCAGATTTCCCCCAGTGCCTCTGTGGATCTGGTCCCTAAGTGCCTAACAAATCTCACATTCTTGGTGTCATCAGACTTGGGAGTGAAGAAAACCCCTCGTGAATAATGCCCTTGAGGGATCAGGAAGCCACTAGAGACAGGGAAACACCTGAACCACTTCCTTCTCATTTTTCACCCCACCTTCCATTCTGGGCCCCCTCCAGCCCTCTCCAGTCCCCAAAGGTTACACGTTCAGCCACGGCATCTCCTCACCCCACATCTCCTCCAGCCCATGTCTCTAGGATGGCAAGCAGCAGAGGGACCAAGTGATATACCCAGACCCTTCATCGGGGGATTGTCAGAGCCAAACGTGTCCATGTGCCTTTTCCTTCTCTCCAACATCTCCTGTCCTTGTCAGACCTCTTTCCTGAGGCTCCCCTGAGCTCAGCCCCTTTCCCTCCTGCCCAGCCTCCTGCGGGACTCTTCCCGGCTGCCCCTTCCCCAGCTCTGGCTGCGTGACACCCGCCTGTCCTCTGCAAGACGTGTCCTTGCAGCGGGTGCTCATCGTCCGCAGGGACGGACATTGCATCCACGGCTCTGGCTCAGCAGACCTGAGACACCCACATGCAACAGAAACCCTATCTCAGCCTCCTGAGCCGTCAGACCGAGCTGTGACTTCTTGGAGTGAAATCCAAGAGGATGAGTCCTCCTGCTGTGAGCCAAACCGGTCACGGGAGACCCAGCCCTTGCCAAGTGAGTGGCCCCTCCATCCCCTGCTAGCCTCATGCTAGCAACCCTGGGCAAAGCTCCATGTTTGGACAGAGAGCTCTTCCCCAAACCCCTCTCCTCTCTTCCTGCATGGGTACCCCAACACTTTCATAGGAATAAAGCACTTTCCTGGTTTCTTTTGCTCTCTCCTCCCTCAGTGCCTTCCTTTGCCATCAGCTGACTTCAGCAGGGAGGACGGACAAGCAGCGCCCTGGAACAGACACTGGGACTACTCCTAGGAGATGGCACAAGTATGCAAGAAGTGTGCAAAGAAAGAACAGAGACAGCCCATGCCGGGCTCCTCTTCTGTCCAGTACAGGTACAAACTGCCTACCGTATTGAAAATGACCATCACCGGAAGGATCCTGCTTCCTGTGACATCCTGTCCCAGTTCGGGACGGGTTCAGAGAAGTCTTGGTGCTGGGATCCAGGCTTCTCACACTGCCCAAGAACAAAGTCCCCAGCCTCCACCTCCACTGTCCTCGCCTGTCCTCGGGGAGCCCTTCGTGTGCGCCGAGCCTAGGTCCGGGAGCGTCCTTCTCTGACCTGCCTTCGGAAGTAGCGGATGGCAGAAAGTGTGCCAAAACTTGCCAGGAACACTGGAAAAGAGCCCAACACATGGCCAGAGTGAGGCTGGGTGCTTCTTCAAAACCTGAAGATCTTTTTCCAGACTTGGAAGATCACAAGGGTCATTCTGCTCCGTGGGACCTAGGGAGGTCACTCCCTCACTTTCTCAGACCCCTCCTGCTCTTCATCCCCACCACAATGGGCTTTTCCCAGTGTGGCCAGTCCTGAGCTGTCCACAGCCTGATCAACCACATCTAGTCCTATAGTTTGGGCACACGGATCACACCACCATGTCACAAGAAACTTCTGTTTTTTAAGGGAAACCCAACACAGATTCCATGCCTGTGGTAGACATGGGTGCAGGTTGGATGTACAGGTTCAGGTGGAGATCTAATGGGTCTAATCCCAGATGAGAAGGCCACAGTAGGAAATCTCACCAGGGCTTCAGGATAAGTCCTTCATTTTCTACTTCTGGTTGGACCATGAAGATGCCAAGAAAAATATAATTTTGTGGATTATCTGTGGATGTTCTGATTCCAGTCAAAAGCAGAAAACACCCAAAACACAGAATCAGAAAACATAGAGATTCAAAAAGTAACTAATGGAGAGTATACACAGAGCCAAGCTCTTCTCTGTACTTTCAGCTTGGCTTATAAGGGATGTCAAATTCCCCTGAGCTGTGCCCAAGCAAAACTGGGAACCCACACGTTTGGACATCCCAGTTTAAATTCAGACTTGACTTTGATTTACGAGTTAGAGCCTGGGACACAGACAGGGAAATTCCACTTGTTAGAACCTAAAATCCCAGAAGAGAACTGCTAGCCCGGGACGTCAGACTGCCCCTCGCCTCCCTCCTCGCCGGGGTGCTCGCTGGGTTATGCAATCCGGAGGGTAGGAGGCCCATGTATCCCACTTTCCGCACCCTCTCCGAGGCCACATCTACCGTCTAATTCCAAGAAGGCAAGGAGCAGCCAGCCAAGAGCTCCTTGTGATGATCGCACCGAGCAACTTTAGCTAATGAGCTATTCTCAGCCGGGGTGTCAGCTTCCTGTGTGACCTTAGCGGGGAACATTCCTCCCCCGGACAAGCAGCAGGAAGCCCTGGCCCTGGTGGCGGGGGTTTATCAGTGCCCACGGGCTGGACCCCGCACACATTGTCCCTTGTCCTGCTCATCCAGCCACCCGCACCGCTCTGTCTGCTGTTGGACTTTCCTCTCTCCCCATCAGTTATTCAAATGCTGTGGTTGGGAAGGAGAGGAACTGGCAGGGCTCCATTTACTTGCTGGACTCAGTGCACCAGCATAATACTTCAGCTAAGCTGTGTTTAGAAAAAAGATTATGTTTTTGCAGCACATTAGAAAAATATGTACAATTGTTCCAGCTGAGACAAAGAAGGAGAAACCTGCATATTCGAGGTCCTGATTCTGCTTCCAGGGATCCTAAAGAAGCCTCTCTGCCCCTGACACACTGGTCCCTGGCAGAGGATGATGGAGTGGGGCCAAAGCTAAGGAATTGTGCTACGGGTCAGTGCAAGGCAGCAGTCACTTTGTGCAGGGAAAGGACAACAGAAGTGAGTAGGGATCAGGATTGACATTTCTATAGGAGAAAGAAGGTATTAGAAAGGAACAGGACACTTTGGAAAGGCAGGAAAACGACTGTTAGGTGTGTTAGCATCCCTGCCTTTCTCCCCTCCACCTCTTCCACAAGGTCCTTCCCATCCCTCTCCCCCCAGGCTGGGCACTGTACGTACCGGTCTTCCAGGCATCTGGAGCCTGCAGGTCGGAGGTCTTCACAGCCCAGGACGCAAAGGCACAGAAGACAAGGCACATGTCTTTGTGGGTCAGCGCCAGCGGAACCTCAGGCCCTGTGAGAAGAAGAGCATGAGGGTTGGGGTTTCACACCGCTTCCTCCGCCACCGCAGGCTCCATCCATCCAGGGCAGTGAGTCCCTTGCACTCCCAGAGAAATACACCTCTGCCACACATTTTCCCTCCCAGAAGACTTTTTTTCACCATTGGTCAAGTCAAACGTGTCTATTTAGGACTAAGGGATGTGTCCGAAGGAGAAGGGTGCATTTTTCACCCCTCTCAGTTTTACATGTAGGAGAGAGCAATTCCTGGGCTGGCTGCCCACACCATGGGGCTGCAGGCAGACCCCCTTCCTGCAAGACAATGCCCTGAGATGTGCCCCAAGATGTCCACAGCTCCAGGACAACACAGACCACCCCAAGAAGCGCCAGCGCTCAGCATCTCACCACACATCCCACCTCGCTCCGCCGCCTGCTAGGTCCAGGCAGGCAGACAGCCCCAGTGCTCTGCGTTTCTTTTTCTGATGGAGTTCCAGCCCAGCACAACTTGAAGACATTTTGTTCCTGGGCTTATTTGATCAAGCTTTTAATTAAAACTGTCTTGTTAATTAGCTAGGACCATGGCAAAGGGGTTTTTCTCTGTGCAAACAGGCTGGAAGCTCTATTTTGAGGCTCCCTTTGCAATGACTCATTCATTGTTTGGTTTTCATATTAACTATGAGGCACTGTGCCTGCAAGCATCATATAAGCTTTAAGATAAATACGCTGCCTGTCCTAGTGGGTCAGGCTTGCTCTCCCTTTATTCCTGTTTCTCTTACCTGCCTCCAGCAATGCTCAGGTAACCCCTGAGGTCTCTGGAGGGTGTTTTTCCAATGAGCATGCGTTCTAAAGCCCCCCTCACCTATTTTAGCTGCAAGCCTCGGACACGTTCCACTTTGTGCACACCTTTTCCCCCAAAATATTAGATCAGCTAGCAACCCAGCAGCCACTGCCTTGTCTCAGGGGCCTGAGTTCTTCAGGACAGAAGGATTTTGCTGCTTTGCATCCCATTCCCTCATCAGAAACACAGGGATGTGGTTCTGCAGGCAGGTGGATGGCACTGGGGTAGGGGATTCCTGGCTCTACCAGACCTTGCTGTGTTTAATTCACCCATCCCCTTCAGGAAAATTTTCTTGGCCAGATTGCAAAAGAATAGATTAAATCCAGAGTAAGTTATATCCATGCAAGGGGAAACTGAACCAGCTAGGACAGGGACTTTGGACCAGGCTGAGTTTCAGCCTGTTAGAATCATAGAATCCCAGAATGGTTTGGGTTGGAAAGGACCTTAAAGATCATCGAGTTCCAACCCCTTGCCATGGGCAGGGACACCTCCCGCTAGCCCAGGTTGCACTCAGGTTGTCATGACCACCTCTGCCTTGGGACTAGAGTCTGCGAGGAGCAAAATTATGCACAGAATACACCCAGATTCCCTGTCCATGCCTCCTGGGAGCCGGCCAGCAGCCCTCGCTTGGCATTAGGGACAATGTGAGCATCACAAGAGAGAGCCAGCGTGACAAGCACGTTCCAGTGGTGGCTTTAGCGACACTTTCCCTGCTAAAGCTCCGGGGCGGTGGGAGCTGAGGAGCCCACCCAAGGCAGAGGCACGTCTCTGTGCGCAGCCGGGGCTGTCGGGCGGGGGGGTCACCGTGCTTTACCTCTCAGTGCAAGGGCCATATCCAAACTTTCTGGGCGTCTTCCCACTGGGACAAGGGGGAGATTCTCTCCGGATCCTCTCCGCACGTGAGCCTGGGGGGCTGGGGTTTGGCCTCGGACGAGATGCATTGGCCTTTGCAGGAGGAACTTCAAAGCCCCCACAGCTTTCTTCACCTCGGAGGATGGAGTGATTGAGAAAATCCCTCTCCAACCTGCCCTGTTCCCAGGCCCATCCGGAAAGAAGTGTTCATACACCTCAGGGACTGAGATAACCAGGGAGTCTTTGTCTGGAGCCAAGTCGAGATCCTCATTTTGCTGCTGAGCATGGTCCAAGCTGCTGAACTTCTTTCGCTTCCTGTCTTTACCCTTGACTTTTTTCCTCTTTCCTTCTGGTTCATTGAAAAAATATTCATACAGTTCAGGCAAGGATATTTCCCTTTCCAAGGGTGTTGCCTCCTCCTCCACTGAGCTCCCCATTCCTTCTTCTTCCCCTTGGGAATCACAGAACAAATATTCGTACATCTCAGGCCAAGTCACGTCCAGGGTGTTTGCCGTTGTAGGGGCCCTGGCTGCAAAACAAGGGGGGCCCAGCTCCCGGGGGGTCTGAGCTGCAGGTTCCCCATGAGCTCCATCAGCAGCATCCCCTCCAAACGCTGCCACGCTCTTGGGATCCCCATTCCTTCTTCTTCCCCTTGGGAATCACAGAACAAATATTCGTACATCTCAGGCCAAGTCACGTCCAGGGTGTTTGCCGTTGTAGGGGCCCTGGCTGCAAAACAAGGGGGGCCCAGCTCCCGGGGGGTCTGAGCTGCAGGTTCCCCATGAGCTCCATCAGCAGCATCCCCTCCAAACGCTGCCACGCTCTTGGGATGGAGAGGCCTCTCTGGCACCTCCTGGCATGCCTCTCCCTCCGGAGCCGCAGCTCCGCTGGCAGGGATCACCGGCACAATGTCACGTACGCCTGAGCCACCAGCCTGCGCTGGCTTTGCATGCTTGGTGGCCCTTGCCTTCCCCGGGGACTGTGTCCCCAGCTCCTTTACCTTCTGCTTTGGGGAAGGGCTCGTGGATGGTTCGCCCTCGTCCGTGCCAGGGCTGGGCACCGGCCGCTTGCTCTCCCCTGCCTCCTCAATCCCCAGCTTCACCGGTGCTGGCTTGGCTGTCTTCTCCTTCCCTTTGCTCTTCCGTGAGGACAGTGGGGAGCTTAAAGCTGCCTTCCCGGGCACCCCAGCCCCCTGTGCCGCAGCCCCCGCAGGCTCCCTGTCCCCCGGGACTGCCTCACCGGCACCTGCTCCACGTTGCTTGCGGCTCTTTCTCAGCTGTCCTGGCACCTTGGGCCTCACAACATCCGGGGAGCCAGCCGGGGAGCTCGGCTCACCTCGCTCGCCTCCTCCCGCACTCTGGGTGCAGTCTCCAGGGATGGGCTGGGGGGGTGGTCCCGCGGGGGTCCCCGGAGCCCGGGATCTGAGCGGGAAGCACTGCTAGGGCTGCCAGGAGTTTTCCTTGCCGA